ATTGGTTTCATTTTCTCCACTGATTGACAGGTATTAGAAAACAGAGTCTGTATCTGATGTTTTCTGGACAGGGCCCACGTGAGCAGCATTGACATTTGAAATGGGAACTTGTACCCACGTTCCCATTTTGACTCTTAAAACCACATCAACTGAGAAATTATGAATCTTATTTTATACTTGGAGCACCTGATGCTCAGAGGTAAAGATCTAAGCACCTGGTGTTCAGAACACAGGGAGTGGACTCTCGGCACGCAGACATCTGGGACTGTCGTGCACACTAGCTGTGGGCCCTGTGGGATGAAACCGCAGGTCCTGTGATGATCAGGCAGGCCCTCCCAGTCTTCCTCCCATGGCCTTTCCAAGGCCCAGCAGAGATACTATTGATCCATCACAAGGCTCTCAGCCAGTGGGGAGAGGCCAGGGCCAGGCTAGCTGAGAACAGAGACCTTGGAAACACACTCTCCATTTTCTCCAGGCAAAAGCCCTGCATCATTCTAGGGCCCGCCGTGGCTCAAACCCCAGAAACTTGCTCCCTGGAAGACCCTGCTGTTGAGTGCAGATCTGAGGCTCTGGTCCCCAGGAAGCAGGGCGCAGCTCAGAGGTGCTGGCTGGGCTGTGGGGGCAGCAGCGGGTGTGTTCAGGAAGAATGCAGTGTGCATACTAGGGACCTTGCTTGTTTGCCTGCATCCTGAGGGAGCCAGAGAGAGTGGGACAGGGCAGAAATCAGGGAAATGGGGGAAGGAGGCTGGGGACAGATGGAGGAGGAAGACATGAAGTTGGGGGAAAGGCCCCAGGGAGGGCAACTGGGCCCCTTCTGGGAAAGGTGCCTGTGGAGACTCCGTTGGGATGTGTTGGGAGCCCTAGGATTTGGGGAGGCCCTACATTGATCCTCCAGGGTGGTAGACACAGGTAAGGGGACCCTGAGGACCTGGGCTCCGGCCCCTCCCTACAGGCAGACTACAGGGCTCTTGGGCATTGAGGGCGGACCAGGGTGGGCCCAGGAACCTTGCCTTTCCTCTGTAGCTACAGCGTCTACTCTGAAGTGAGCGTCATGCGGGCTGAGCTGGGCACCTCACGGCTGCCCGCCTCGCCTCCTCCACAGGCTTGGAGCCAGTGTGGATGATTCACCTCCTCACACCAGAGCCGCTGGGGGTTGGCGGAGGGAGGGAGGAGGGGTCACCCAGCAGGTCAGGGGTCTGCCTGGGTCACACTGCAGAGTGGTAGCAGGGTGGAGCTCGCATCTAGGTCTTAGGCTCTGGTCTGGTTCTTGGGACATTTTCCCTCACAGCCCCCATGAGACCTGAGGTCTACTCTGGGGACAAGTCAGAGCTAGGCCACAGTCTAGAAACTGGTCTGGGTTAGCCCTGCTGAGGGGCCCCCAGGGCTGTGCTGGGAGGAGAGAACCCCAGGCCCTGCTCACCAGGAAGAGTACAGGCCCATCTTCAGTCCTGCTAGCAGACCCTGGGGCACTTGCTGCCTTCCACCACTGAGCCGAGCCCTCTCCCTGGAAGATGGTACTTGTCTCAAGATTTAGACTGGCTAGGAGCGTGGGGAGGTGCTGGCTGTGTAGGGGCCCTGGGTGGTCCCTGTTTAGCTGTGGCTCAGAATGGTGAAAGAATGGAGTTGGGCTCTAAGGCCAAGTTTAGGCTGTCAGAGAAGAAGGGGTTGTGGCATTTCAGGGCAGAGCTGCACAAATAAGCCATAGGAAGTCAGAGGAACCAAGACTCCCATCTCCTTTCCTTGGAAACTGTGGCACCTGGAATGTTCTACTTGGAAGAGACCATAATTCCCAGCATTCCCATATCAGACTGAATTTTTTCCCCACGCCTCTGTATACTTTTTGTACTGTATCTTTCTTTAAGTGGCTTCTTTTTTAACTTAATCTTATTTAAAAATATCTGTGAAATCATAGATTTGGTATGCCTATCACATTTTTTCTAATATAAATTAAATACGTAGCTACTAACTTTAAAACTTCATGTCCGTAGTATTGGGTGACCACTATGCCATGAGTGACTCCCCTGGGGCTCCCCTCTGGGAATCCTGATGTGATCCTGATGTGAAGTGCTGCCTGAGGTCACAGTCAGGGGAACCAGCAGACGCCCCTCCAGTGCCTCCCTCCGCAGCAGAACTTTGGCATGAGTCCTACTTGGACAGAACTTGGCAGAGAGAGGAAAAACAGGCAGGAATGGGCTGCAACGTGGACATAGACTGACCTTGGGGTGGAGAGCGGGGCTCGGTGACCTGGTAGGAAGAGGATGTGCCTGAAGGTGAGGATCCTTCCCTGGAATTCTTCTCAGGTCTGAACTTCTCCCTTCTGTCAGAGGACTTAGTGGCTGAGCTCCTGGCTTTATTTAAATTAAAAGCAAAGTTTTGTTTTCAAGTAAATCCCCAGGGTTCAATTCCAGCTTCTGTGGCGTTTCCTTTTGTTTTCTTCCCCCTAGAAATGTCTGATGAAGAAAATTCCCTTTTCATCCTGAGATGCTTGGGGCCAGGGACTCAGGGCCCAACAGGAGAACTGACAGGAAGTTGGTGGTGTGAGGGGAAGGGGGTGGGAATAACACAAAGTGGGGCCAGGAGCAGTCTTATTTCACAAGGGTTTATTGAGCTCCTGCTGTGTGCCAGGCGGGCTGAGCACTGGTGTGTGGCATTTGTGCTTGGGTACCTGACCCCTGGGAGAGCACCTCTCCTGCTCCCTCTGTGAAGGCCCCCTTGCTAGGGTGCTCCCATAGGAGGTGCTGTCCTCAAGCAAGGCTGGACTCCCTGTGCACTGGCCTCTCCTTCCACCACTGGCCCCAGCAGTCCACTCCTGCACATCTGTGGCCTCGTCAGTGCAGGTGGGGTCCACTGGGTTGTTTGGAGCTTGTGGCCTCAATGGTGGGCAGGAAGGGCTGGGAGGGGTTCCACTCCTTTCTCTAGAAGGGGGTTCTCAACTTCAGAGTGCTTCTGTCTCACTAGGGGGTAGGGGAGAGAGGAAGCAGACCGAATTAGGGACCCTAGTCCTCAAATATAAGATTCAGAAGGTCTAGGTGAGGGCCAGGTAATCAGCAGTTCTAAGAAATAACGTGGGTTGCTCAGAAGCCTCTCCCATCTGAGATGGTTTGATGTGGGTGCTCTGTGAGTTACTCACTGAGAAACCTTATTTCAAGGGGTAGTTTGGCAGAAGGAAGTGTCTCGGATTTCCAGTAGAGATCTGTGTTCATGGCCCATTAGCTGTGTGGCCTTGGACTAGTCGCTTAACCTCTCTGTACCTGGTGGTAGCGGTGATGATGACACAAAGGGCTGAGATTTCCCTGAGGGTGCACTGGTGCATTAGGAGCACCCAGAGAGAATAAAAGGGGATACTACTGGGTGTTCATTTGCCCCCTTGCACAAAAAGGAGGATGGACGCTTCCTGGTCATCCATCTCCTTCACGTCCTTCTCCCCCTTTGCCCCTCGCTGCCAGAAGGTTGTCTCTTGGACACCCTGCCCCTCCATCTGCATCGCTCATACTGAACTGGGCACATTTGGGGCTGGCAGGAGGCAGCCTGTGGGTGTAGTTGGGAGGATGATCACAAGGTGCATTGTTGGAGGTGGAAGGACTGTCCACCCTTTCTGGGAAGGGGGACAGATGTGTGCACCAAAAGCAGGAATTGTGTGACTGCCCTGGTGCCAAACTTTGCTCTGGTAGAGGCCCCATCTCTCCCCACTTTCATAGGGCAGCACCAGGGCTCACTCGCCTCCTGATTCTCCTCCCAGGCCCTTCAGGAAGCAGTGACAGCTTGACCCCTGTCTCTCCTGTCCCCTCACAGATGTCCTGGCGTCCGCAATACCGTAGCTCCAAGTTCCGGAATGTCTACGGGAAGGTGGCCAACCGGGAGCACTGCTTCGACGGGATCCCCATCACCAAGAATGTGCACGATAACCACTTCTGTGCTGTCAATGCGCGCTTTCTGGCCATCGTCACCGAGAGCGCGGGGGGCGGCTCCTTCCTCGTCATCCCCCTGGAGCAGGTACGTGTCACCTCCCTAGTCCCAGCTGAGCCCCAGGACAGCAGGCAGCTCTCCAAGGTGACTAGCAGGCCTGTTGGCCTTGCGTTTGGAGAAGTCACTCAACTTCAGGTTCACGGGGTTCCCACTCACCAGACGGCTTGGAACATCTGATCTCCCAGCCAGGTTCAGCCCTCCATCTGCACCTGCGCCAACTTTCAGTTTGGAGCTGGAAGGAGGGAGACCCAGCCCATCTTTGCCTCCCCCCGGGCATCTGTAAAAATAACACGCCCTCTCCACAGACAGACTGGAAATCCTTAACCTGTTTTCTTGCCCCTGGCCTCCTGCCTAAAAGTTTGTCCCCTCCTGTGGCTGCCTGCATAAATATAGCAAATGAAATCGACAAAGCCTAGATCATGAAATTTGGAAGCTCTGCCATCCAGGCAGCATCCCCAGAGACCCGTGGGAGGTCACCCGCTTCAGCGAAAGAGCTCCCTGCCAGTCCCACTTGTTTATGGCTGAGCTCGCCCTTCCCGGCCTGACTCATCCCACTCCCACCCTCCGCCAAGCCCTGCACGGGGAGGAGGAGGAACACGCGAAAGGAAGCCTTGGTTCTCAAAGTGGATTTTTCCAGTCCCTTCTGCCCCTGGTGAGGGCAGTACAGACTGGGGAAAGGCTGAGACCAAATCTTCCCACCCCCCAAAGGGAGTAGCTGCAGTCACTGGGGACAAGGCCAGTGTCCCGAAAGGCTTGAGGAGCATGAATTCGGCAGGAGGGCTGGCTTCCAGGTCATCTCTGCTGCTTGCCTTCGCGTGTTCCTTAACTCGACTGCAACATATTTTCCTGTGATGGTAAAATGGGTATCCTCAGTCCTTTGGTCTACACCTATAATGCTGGCATTTGTGACGTGATGGACCTGACAGCGCCTTGTCATCCACACAGCCTGTTAAGGAGCGCTGGTACTTTCTTGAGAAAGTCAGCAGCTCTCCCCATGCATTTTGCAGATGCCCACAGCAACAGCTGTCTACTTGGAAGAAATCCGAAATGTAGCTTGCTTCCCCTCTCCAGCAAGATGGGCTCACCTGTCCATTTTGGGGAGCAGCTCTATCCAGCAGGTCCCAAGCAGCACGTGGGCTGGCCCTCATGAGGCTCACGTCCATCATCGGCACCCTGCCATACGCCACTTGATGACTTGCAGAGGTCAACATTCAAGGCCTCACACCATAACAAGAATTAATTCCAGATGCGTTAGAGAGCTAAACACTTAAAAAAAGAAAGGGAAAGGAGAAAATGCACATAGGGGAAATGGAGAGCATTTTAAAAGCCACACCATCCTCACCACAAAGGAAAAGATTGATAGATTAGCATAAGCTTTATTTTAAGGTTGTTTCTGTACTACAGAGACACATGTAAGCAAAATTAAAAGCAAGCCACATATTAAGTACAGTGCTGCAATATGTAACAAGTAAGATTCCTGTCCAGAATAGATAAAGAGTTCAGAAAAATCAATAGGTAACAAACCCAATAGAAAATAGGCACAAAAAAATGATGAGCAAGTCATGGAAGATAAAGCACATCTTTTAACCTTCTAAATTGGAAAAGATTTTGGGGGTTAGTGATCTTTGGTATTGCCAAAACTGTGAGAAGCAGGCACTCACATACACTCTTGGTGCATTTGATATATTCACAACTTGCACGTAGCAATATATAAATGTAGACAATGGCAACGTCTATTCATATTCAAAACTGCATGTGTACTGGCCTAGCAATTCCACTTCTAAAAATCTACCCAACCAAATATTCCCAAGGATATATTTTTTAAAAGCTTTGCAACATTTTGACTTTGATTTTTCCCCCCACAAACATCAGTTTTTTTTTTTCCAACTGATATAAAATTTCTTTGTCAAATTGCCTAAAAGTTTCTACATTCTTCCTCAATTTCAGTAATGGTACCAAAGCAATATAAACTGTCAGTAGCACTGGTAGAGAATATGATCGGATTTTGTAAATACTTTATGGACACCAGGCAAAGTATTCCTTACAGAGCAGAAATAATAGGACCTATCGGAGCACAACCATATATGTTCAATGTAAACATGGCTTTTGAACCCGACGAGCTCACATCCTGTGATACATCTTGTTTAGTTTGATAAATAACGGAGGGCTAGGGATGGCTCTCTATACCCCGTTTACAGAGGTGCTTGTGCAGGTTTCTGAAATAGTGAAATCTGGATGTAAGCTTACAGACCGTCAGCAAGGAGGGGGGTGAACGTCACATAGAAGATACTATGCAGGTGTCCAAACACTTCAAAATTATTGAAGACCCCTCAAAAGCTCTTGTTTATATGAGACTTAGGTTTAGCAAGTGGAAATTTAAAAAAGAAGGCGTTTAAATGTCAATTTGTTGATTCATTTGAAATATTATGATAAACCAATGTTGTACTCAAAACCATGTATTTTTTTTTTTATGAGACGTCACTCTCTTTCCCAGAACAAAACAAAAGTAAATGAGAAGGCTGACATCATTTGACACTGTCCTCTTTAAATCAGTCTGGCTGGGTAGTAGTGCTGGATTTCGAGTTGGCTATATCACTCACCTTGTAGCTTTCGGAAAGTCCACTCTGCTCTTGAGACATGAGCCTGAAAAGGGAAACAACATCTTGGTATTGTCATAGCAAGGGTTTGACTCTCAGGACTCCCTGGAAAGGACTTGGGAATCCTTAGTGGTCCCCAACCACACTATGAAAACTATTGACGCAGGGAAATATTTTTTTTT